CAATCATCTTGAGAACGTTTTGCCTTTTGCGATAATTTATCTAGGTGATGAGCAGTATATATATTTTTTATGGGCTTGAGCAGCGTTTGCACCTTTATCATAATACAGTTGTCAGATAAAGCGAATCTTTTGAAAACATTTAATCGATCCTTGAGGTGCTGTTGATCTCGAACAAAGTCACAAATTTATCACTGTAGAAGTAGAAAGTTTTTTTTTTAAATATAAACAAGGCTTAGCTATAGTCTAACGTCACCCACAGCGTACGTTTTCCTCGGACGTTCGAAATCAGATTGACAAGCTTTGAAAAGTGATCAAAGTGGCTCAAAAAACTGTTTTTTGTAATTGCGACGATTCGATACAAAAACCAGTGGCTTTTTCAAAATGAGAGAATCTACAGACAACAAGGTCGCCCAGACAAGTTCCGACGAGAGAAATTTGGTGGACAATTGGGAAGTTTGTTAGTAGTAGCTCACAGTTCAAATTTGCTGGGTTTTTTGTCCAACTTTTTTGAACTAAACTTAAACAAATTTACATGTCATAAAATTTGTTCACTTACGGTTATTATGAAAATATTGATTGATAATTAAACGCAGTTTATGAACCAGTAGCATTGGCTACCCATTCTTAGTCCAGTTATTCCGAAAGGCTTCCTATACACGTCCATATCAGTGTATGCTTGGATTATTAATCGAGTATAGCCTTCTTGTCAATTTATTTGTTTCAGATATTTCTGATACGTGCAACATACGCACATACTCTTAGATGCATGTTTCGATATCAATTACACTACATAAACCACTGCTATGGACATTACTTTATTTAAACTGTGTAGCCAACGCCACAGACTTGGTTGTCCGCCAACGACCTCCCTTCATGTTGGGTTATCTAGAATGCAGTTGTTCCATCATATATGGGGCGTCACGTGGGGCAATGTAAACCGATCTCTCCTTTCCGCATAACACCCTTTCCGGCTTCTTCAGCTAGCTTCAGCTGAGCGACCATCCAGCTAGTCAGACAGGTGTAGCTCAGTTAACCTAACCTTAAAGACTAAGTCAGATGGTGTTTCCGTATCAATTCGGCAGCTTAGAAGATCGGCTTTGCTGCGTGCACTCAGGCAGAACTATGAGTTCGCGCAGAGTGAGCGATTTAACACAGAGTGCAGTTCCTTACAAAGCGCAGAGTCGCTGTTTATACAGACACATACTCTAACGGAGATATAGGTATACAGAGATGCGCCCAACGCTGGAAATAGCTGCATGTTATTGCACGCAAGCAAACAGGCTCACTCACTCACACACTTTAACACACGCTCACACTGTCAGAGCCTGGAGCGCCAGAGTGTCGGGTTGGGAGAGCACTTCTCCGGGTCCTGGCGGCGAAAGGCGATGGCAGCGGCTATCATGATGGCAGGAGGCCATGAGTTCACCCACCGCTTAGTGCTAGGCTACCCCCGCCCTTTCGGTAGTTACGGCTTTTCCTTGCCTTCCCTCCGCACGCTGGATGAGAAGAACGAGCAGTTGTACTCGGACGGACGAACATTCTCTTTTCGTTCCTACGTCCTTTCCCATTCTCCTTCGCTCCACAGTCGAGAGGACCAAGGCAGGCCGAGCCTTCCTGAACCTTACTCTGCTTGTCATGGTCATTGAAGCAGTCGTCATCATTGCTGTCGTCATTGTCGCTGTTGCACCGTCGTCGTCGTCGACGACGGTTAGCGAGCCCGAGAGCGCCCGACCGAACGACTTAGCGAGCCAGTCAACGGTGGGGGTATGAGGGTCATGGAAGTGCGGCCGACGGTAGCTGTCAATGGCCCCCCACCATCTCTGCGATGCGCGATGCCGCCAAAAGTAGCGGAGGACGACGGCCACGACGGCGGCATTGTTATCCGCTCACGATATGGATGTAACTGCAATCGGCGAAGTTCATTTTGACAGAATTAATCATATGGTATGTAAATCTATAACGGAACAGTCACAGTCCTTGCGTAAACCCAAAAAGGTTCGGAGATACGCTCATGAGTTCGTTTGTTTCGCTAGAACTCGTCAACCTATCAACCTATCGTGAGGATACTATGGCAGATCGTGGGCATCACCACCATCATTGAATGTGCGCAAGAGCTGCTATCTACTGCGAGCTTCATCTCTCAATCTCCAACTCGTTGCTCGGATGATACTGCTGCTGCTGGGTTGCTTGGTCGTTGCTTCAATGAAGGGGAAGCCAGAGGCAGACAATCAATGATGGTGGTGACAGGAACAAGGCGTGCACTCCGCGGAACAATGTTGGTAGCACGAAGCCCTTTCCACTCCGAGCCATCAGTCGCTGTCAGCTCGCGCGTCCGCCGTACTCTCACCCATGGTGTCGCCTCTTTGAACTTGCTATGACGGCCGGACGTACTAAGCCACAGATGGACGGATGGTCTGAGTAGAGAGCAGCCACAGCATCGCACCAACAGTGGAAAGCAGTTCAGCAGCTCAACCACTACTAGAGGGCAAGCAGCAAACAACCCTGAGCAGCAGCAGCGGCAGGAGCCCGCAGCATCTGCGAACTACTGCTGATGGCAGAGAACCGCGGACGACAGTAGAGAGTAGACAGTAGACGCGGAGGGTAGACAGTAGAGAAAAACAGGCAACAGAAAGGCAGAGAGGCTAGCAGAAAGGTAGCAATAATAACGTACATCACAGCACTGAGTAGCAGCAGAGGTCTGAAGAGGCTTGTGGTGCGCTTTCGCCGCCGCCAGGTTACGCTACGCTAGGTTATAGCTGGTCGTCGAGCCCATGAAAGTGGCTAGCTAAGCAGCCGACTGGCGGCGCGGCCGCTGAGAGTCGACGTACGACCAGCACACGGAGAGGCAAAGCAGAGTAGACAGCGGCAGCAGCCGCCAAAGTCGCCATAGATGCAGACTGCCAGTCCGTCCGTCCGTCGGCCCGTCCGTCCGCCCATCGCTTGGTCGGACAGCCCGCCGCTGAGGGGAACAGAGTGGAAGTGAGCGGCCGTAAGCGAACGAGCAGTAGCGAACTGAGCAGAGCGCTCCCGTTCCTGCTGCTGGCGGCAGAGAGGCGGCGCAGAGTAGTGGCAGAGGGGCAAAGGACCCATTCATTCACCCCATAGACACAGGCGGCAGACGAGCGTTGGAGGTTGTGTGTGTATGTTTTATGTTGCAAATTTCGTTGGTGGTGCTGCTGTTGCGGATGTCAGTGGCAGCGTGAGTGTGTGGCACACGGAGCAGCAAGCCGCCCCGTCAGGCGTGAGAAGAAGACGAAGACGACGACGACGACGACCAGTGGCACGGTGTGATCTCCTAGTACTACAACTACTACGTTCCGGCTACGAGAGCTTCCCAAGCTACGACAGTGAAGGCAAAGCCAGGCAAGGCGACGATAACGACGACCACTAACACGATTACAATTCTAACTAGTATTGCTCGATACGCTTTACTAAGAGAACGACGTCGACACAGAAAGGGGATTGCTGCTACTACTGGAGGTGGCGATGGGAGTGCGGCATTGGTAGTGGTAGAGAAAAATCGGTAGCAGCAGCAGTAGTAGAAGCAGCGTAAATGTAAAACACTGACCGTGCTTGTTGCGGGAATTTCTCCTGCTGTGAGTGGTGTCAGAGGTTTACGGCTTGCAAGCTAACAGCCAGGCTTGAACGCCAGGCGTAGTCGAGGGACAGCAAAGGCGAGGCGGCAAGGAAGAACAGCAAAAGCCAACCGGCCAGCCAACCCCCCACTTTGCATGGTCATAGTGCTGCTGGTCTGGGGTAGGCTGTGGACGCTATGCCTGCGTTGATGATAGTAAAGATACTGTGGTGTTTTGCTTAGTCGGTGATCATTGTGACAATGTTAGTGCTACTGTCTATATTACTCCATCCAATTGAGATCGCTGCCGCACAATACCTGACGATCGTGCAATACGAGTGAATACTATTCCGTGTGACTGATATGAAGCTCTCCTCCTTGCCGCCGTAATTGTGTGAGTGCCGAACTGCCTCGTAACAGCTACGCGTTTGCTGCTTCCGCCGCCGCTCTCGTTGTCGTTAGACTTAACGAGACAACAGGCGAAAAATAGGAAAAACTGTGCCGCGTAACAGTGAACTGTGAACAGGCTGTGGGACGTGCGAAGCCGAAAGGACTGTGGTGGTGTTTACGTCGGCAGAGCAGCTGGTGTCGCTAGCTGCATTGTGTCGGTGACCTGCACCGCCACCCGGAGTGTGCCCCGTAGGGCTCCAACGCGAGCTCCAGTCCGGTATGAAGGCGCGTGCGATAGCCGCGCCGGGCGGGCCATGAACGCCGACGAAGAATTCGGCGCGTTCAAGCAGCAGCCTCCGCGAGCAACTCCTGGAGGAGTGACTGCGCAAGCGGGACACCCGACTGCCGCGCCTGAAGGCAGCGTTAGCGTTGGCGTTGGCGCCCGATCTGCTGCAGCAGAAGAAGCAAGCGCAGTAGGAATAGCAGAACAGGTCGTCGAAAACGAGCTAGCAAAAGCAGCGTCATCGAAGCCAATCACACGAGCGTGGCCTTATCATTGCACAACACCTCGCCGGATTGCCTTCGCCGCCGAAATTGAGATAACGGCAAAAGCAAAATCCAACATCGACAAGCATTATTGCTCGTCGTCGATCAACTACCCCCCCGTCGATCCGCTGTTAATAGACCCGCTCGTCGCAATCGAGTCAGGCAAGGGCGGCGCCTCATCGCGATCGTCCTCGTCAACAACGTCCGCGTTCATTGAGTGGAAACTGAGCCAGGTGCGGCAATTCCGCGACGACGTTGTAGAATCAAAGGTACAGCCGTATAAGCAGAAGCATCAGAGTAACCCGCAAAACAAGCAGCAACGACAGCGGGAGCTGCCCGACATGCAGAGTGTGCCCGATGACTTCTACAAAGTGTTCAAGCGACGTCAGCTGGAGTTCTGCTGAGCGCACTGCCTCGACGCGTCGTTATCGCCCGCGCCGCGGCAGCGCTCCGGCATTTAGCCGGACCGCCCGCAACGCCTGAGGCGCTCGCCAGTTCGACGCCCGAACATGGCGACGGCTAGGCCTAACATGGGTGTAGGATCGAGTAGCTCCGAGCATCAGGCAGGAGACAGTTCGCTCGCAGCCGAGGCTGGTGAGTCGAGCGTCGGCGACCCGACGCCACTTAGTCCGACTGGATCGTCGTTTGGCGCGCCAGGATGTCCAGGCTACCCGGCAGCAGCGACCGGCGCTAGTGAAGGCGATGCGCTAACGCCTCACACCCCCGAACCTGAAGCTGATGGCGGGGGCTGCGATAGCGGTGAGCCCACTGTTGGGCCGGAAGGGTCCGCGGGCTCCGAGTACGAGATGGGCCATGGACACTACTTCACTAAGAAAACATTTCACAAACCCACCTATTGTCACCACTGCACCGACATGCTCTGGGGCCTTATCGGCCAGGGCTACATCTGTGAAGGTACGTACGATAAGCTGGATAACGCTGCCTATCCGCTACTGCGATATATAGTACGTGATAGGACTCGACGTGTTAGGACCATGTACGACTTGATATTGTCGTTGACAACGACAACGGCGACGACCAAAAATACTGCGACGACGAACCATGTCATATGCATGCAAACACTGCATATGATGATACGGCAACGATGAGGGTCAAAAAACCTGTGAGGAATTGGGGTATTCAAAATCTGTACGTGAGAAAATAGTAATCAGAAGAAAGTGAACGCGACAAGTGAACATGTAAAACCCGTCAGAGATACTAGGGGAACATGCACTACACTAGATACATTTATGTTATGAACAGATATACACAAGCTTTATCTAACACAGTCACTATATTCTATACAACGCAAAGGAAGTGTTGTATTCGGTCTTATGACAGATTTTGACATGCATGAGCGCAAGCTGACAAACGCAGCAAACAGCTAATCGATGAACAAATCCAGCCGTCCGTTCAACGTTTTAGTTACACTGGACGGATTTAGCGACCGTGCGGCACTTTGAACGAACCGGCGTTTGATTGTCTGCCAATGGAGTAGTACAAAAGAAAGCAAAGTAAATAGTTAATACATCTAATACAGTAACCTATACTTATCGTCCTTATTGAAAGAGGAACAATTCGCAAAACTGCTCTAACAAGTTCTATAATGAAAACAGGCGGATATGGTACTGGGTCATAAGACCAAACCGCTAACAGTGTAAACTCAAACCCGCCTATGTTAACAAATTTAGCGGTCGTGCCTCATAACCCAATTGACACACAGCCACCTCTATCCGTATAGGTTCACCCACGTTGAGCAGTGTACAAGAGAAACAACAGCCTTTAGCTGAAGCAGAAAGTGTCCGAAGCACCTCCCTTCTATATCCCGATGCCATGAAACGTCCTTAATACCCCACTCGTGTTGTTGCGATGAGTTACATGCTCGCTCTTTTACTACAGCAATGAGTTAGAAAGCGGCGTTGTGTCTCGGGCCTTAGTAAGCCTCTTAATAAACGATAAAAAATTCGACGGCACTTTTGTGAGCATAGAAAATAGAAATCCCGTATTATCTTTGTCAGCTTAATAATGAGGATAATACCGACGGATAGCTTGACAAACAAATATGTTATAAGAACGCAATTTGGCATAAATAATAACGGAGAGACGCAGTCGATATTTGGATGGATATAAGCTATTTTCCTTATGGATAAATATTCTAAAACTATATACATAAAACTCTATATACTATATACCAACTAATCGTTTTCACACAGACAAAAAGATCTGTGGTGTAAATATCTTTTTTTCCTGACTTTTCAAACAGTTTGTGCTCCGGTTTACAAGATGTTTATCTGTCTAACTCTTGCTGTCTATGGTGTTGTTTTCGACTTTATCGGATTTACTCCTGACGGAAATACGACAACTGTAAATTCAGTGTGCAATTTTGTCGTGCACGATCGGTGTCTCAAAACAGTGGTATCGCCTTGTTCCACTATTGCAATCAACGTCATCAAGGTAAGTTACATACATTTCTTAATATGTATAGATTCATGAGATTTGTTGGGCCCTATTGTAACCGATAGCCTGTTGAAGGTGCCGCATCAGAGAGGGCTGAAAGCCCGTTCCGTTCCGATTAGATATAGCTTCAGATTGAAACAGTTAGTCCGATACGGGGATGCTTTGCCCTCACGAATAAGACGTCCTTGAATTGCGTTTTGCAAATTCTCTAGTTGATTTAGGCACCGAATTGAATCAGCTGTTTTCCTCTCCTGAGCACGTCGTCATTTATGCATGGGGTCGTTAATAGAGCAACGTAATCATGCGTATCTTAAAGCACCATGATCGGACCAGGGTTGTCGAATATTGTATTTTGTCAACGTACTTTCACGAATTTGAAAAGTATGCCCCCCTTTATTATAGGGGCACGAGCTTGGCAAAGCAAACCTTCAGGGTAACCGTAAAGCAAGCTAGGGCACTGTTGTGAATTCTACCTTAAAAAAAGCTGTTGAAATATGTTTTTAATTTCACTTAATGCAGAGGCATGATTTGAATATGCTTAAATAAAGCATTTTCACAAATAGGGTCCAGGCAAGAGCTGCCACTGCAGTACGCGTACTGTTCGACAATCCGCTGGGCTGTCGCACAGGCGAAAGCGCTCACTGTTGATCCATGATTTATTTTGTGTTTCTTCCCCGTGGATTCTAATATTTGTGAATAAATAACATCTGGACTTCCGGAAGATTCTTTGCTTTACGATACCTTTATTCTCAGCTATGAAGAGAAAATAAAGTTCCTCGGACAATATCGCAGTCGAAAATAGCGATGCGCCTTTTGAGCATGCAACATCTAGGCTGTAGAATACTGAAAGAAAAATGATCCCGATTTTTTTGCCATAAAGGCGAAGTGTTCTCTGGCTCTACCGAACACTACAGGCTGTTCTAGTTAAGTGTATAT